TACTCGGTTGCCCAGCTCGGCCGACACTCACGCTCCGCCAGCATCGACATTGTCGCGAGTGTGCCGAGCGCTGCCTCTGGCCGGGAGTCCAACGGTTACGAGGAGTCTGAGGAGAGGATAAGGGAGCAAGTCCCCGGGCGCGCACGCCGGGCTGAAGGCTGCACGGGGGCGCGTACTGCTGACGTCAGGTGTGCGCGACGCGCTACCAACCACGTGAAGCTGAGGGGCGGGGCTGCCTTGCGGGATTGAGAGACGCAGGTTCGTGTTAGGGCTCGGAAAGAGCTTGTGGGACGCAAGCACTTCACTTCACAGTTTAACTCTGAAAGTGGGTGTGCACGCAGCCTTAGAGCTGTTCGGGGGCTCTACCATGGGAACCTTTAAAGAGATGGAGAGACGGCTGAAGAGGAAGGTATTGGCACTATGGAGGGGGTCTGTGTTCCTCACACTCTTACCTCTGCCGGTTGGGAATGCTGAGAGAGGAGGGAGGGTGGGAAGAAAGAAACAGACATCTAGTTGCCAAAGCAAACGAAGCACCATGGGTTTTTTTTTGTGCTCTACGGTGGAGACATGTTGACTCTTCCATGGTCTTCACTGTGACAGACTTAAATCCCAAAGACTTTCCCCAGTTCCGTTGCTCAACCTGCCATACCTGGCATTTGCTGAATGCATCCTGTCACATTCTGCATGCCCCCTTGCGTTCCTTTCTCCTCCAGACACGTGACCTCAGCTATCCCCCCCCCCCCCCGCCCCCAAGCTGTTTATTTGCACCCCTGCCCCCGCCCCTCTAGCGTCTCCCTTCAAAGTCCCTCTCTTTGTCAAGGCTTCAGCTTCCAATCTAGTCTTTAGCTTTTCTCACATCATTGTTGCACCATGCCTTCAGCTTTGGCCAGTGCCCTGCCCTTCACAGGGGCTCTTCCTCATCTCATCTTCTTGGGAAGGTCACATCCACTTTTCATCAGACCCAGCAAGGCTCCATGTAGACCCCATTGCAGTTATTGCAGCCCTTTCCAGGATGCAGTGTGCTGGGGAAATGAAGTGGTGGTGTTTAATGGCAGTGGTGGGGGGTAAGAGCTCAGAACTGGGAGTTGACAGGCCTAAGAATCGGGCATGATTTTGCCCACTTCTACTTACCTGTAAGACAAGGAGGTTGATAACACCCAGCTAGGAAGGATCATGTGCTTGACCATGAATTATGAACAAAAAAAGAAGGGGCAGTAGATGTGACAGTGTGACTATGAGGCTGGGTCTGACCAAATCCCCCTTTAAAACATCTGGGCTGTGACCAAAATTCTTTCCAGTTTGCCCTTTCCCAGATAGAAGGGTTCGTGATCTGGATCACCAAGCCCAAGCCCAGGCAAACAGTGAGTTTCCAAGCAGGAGGGCATACAGGAACATTTCCTCACACACAGTGAGGATACAGGCTTTGTTGTGTGGCCTCTCACTCCTCTCTAAAGGATCTCATAGGACAAGGAGGATTAGCCAATGTGTGGCATTCTCAGTGAGTGTTCTTGGACCACAGCATCTGCTACCTTTGGAAACCTTTGTTCATTGTTTGAAAACATCTTTGGGGAGTACCATAAACTTCTATTGTCTGTTTACCCCTGTTTATGAAGAATTTGATGAGTAAGTTTAGAAAGGACAGAAAAGGAAGTATATAATCAATGCAGGTCTGGAGTCTTAAGCAAGTCGATTAGGACAGTGTAGGGAACTTGCTTCTATCATGATTTTTGCCTAGAGCAGAAACTAGACTTGATGATTAAAAAAAAAAAAAAAAGTAAGCCAGTAAATTAATCATGGTGGAAATAAGCAACCAGAAAAGATCCTGAGATTATCAGCATGCATTATGTAAAAATATTCTGTAGCTGTAAGAGTGAAACTCCTGGCCTCTGCTAAATCGTAAGTGATTCTCCAGGAAGAGAGCATGTTGACATGCTTCATTTGTGCCTTACATAATCATTCCTCTTTCATTATTAATGTTGGTTGATGGGGATCAGAGCTCATCCATGTGTAGCCTGAACTTGACCAAGCAATGGATTGCTATATCCTTTCCTATAAACAGCCTTAGTGTGCTGTTCCCAGGAAGAAAGACTTTACTGGGTGGAATTCCTGAATCAAAGTGATTTTTCAAACCTCAGAGGTAAAAAGTAAAGATGTCAAACTTCAAAACAGAAAAAGATGGATGAGGGAGAGGAAGAAGAGAAAAAATGAATGGCTCAGTTTCTACTTGTCTTGGCATCAGAAAAGCATACTTATACTTGCCTCTTCATTACACAAAATGGCCAGGGGCTGCTAGAGCTCTGTAACCTCCTAGGAGTGGGGGGTGTGGCAAATGACAGCAGTTCCCCCAGGTAGCTGCAGAGATTGCTGGCAGTAGTCCCTCCCAAAACCTCAACTGCCAGGATCAAGGAAGCTCAATTTTTCTTATAGGTCAAAGAGAAGAGCAGACCTGCTATCATGAGATTAACTCATATGCTGAAACCTTCACCCCCAAGGAGATGGCATGGGTAGGTAGGGTCTTTGAGAGGTTTGCATGATCACAAAGAGGGAACCTTGGGATGGGATTGGTGCCTTTAGGAGAGAGAATCCAGTTTTCCTCCTCTCTCTCATACTCTGAGAATGCAGCAATATGACAGCGTTGGGAAGCAGGAAGCAGCCCTCACAGAAACCAAATTTGGCAACCATTCGACCTTGGATTCAACCTCTAGAACTTTGAAGGATAAATTTCTGTTATCTCTAAGGCAATTTAAGTATTTTGTTACAGCAGCTCAAATAGACTAAGACAGGCAAAATTATACATTGGCACAGAGTAATAATCCTAAATTCCAGACCCATATTTCCAAAGAGCAAAGACCCAGGAAAGGATCTCTTATCTTTCCTTTGATGCAAATATTTGAGAGGGTGAATACATTCACACTTATAGGAGGATTTTTAGTTTAAGAACACCAGTACAGGCTTCCTACATCTCTTTCATAACCCAGCCCTTCTTTAAACAACTGAAAAACTCTGTAAGCCAAAAATTGCTGTCAGTTCAGAAGAATTTTAGGAAAGATATTTAGAGATGAGTTTATCAGAGGGAATTCTTGTGGTTCATTTCTAAAATACTGACTTGAACCTTGAAACAGTCTAGTTATCAGCCCCCAGGACCAGGGTCATGTGTTCTTAGAAGAAAAGACTAGAAATGGGTGGGGAACTCAAAAGCAAAGGCAGGCTTCCTCTTTTAGTGTTTCTCCTGAAAAAGACCGATGGGGTATGTGGGAAGGAGAGCATAGAAAGGTATAGGGATAGGGCTGGAGCTGGCTTGGTAGTTAAGAACAATTCTTGCTCCTGTGAGGACCCAGGTTCAATTCCCAGTACTCATAAAAAGCAGCTCACAATCGCCTGTCACTCCAGCTCCAGAGAATCCAAAATCCTCTCCTGACTTCTGTAAGCACCTGCACTCAAGTTCACCTACCCAAACATACACATAATTAAAAAGAATAAAAATAAAGCTTTTAAAAAAAGGTTAGGCTTGTAAAGAGTTGTGGGGACCTGGGAAAACAGGTTTATCAAAGGGCATGGGCCAACTGGTGAGGCCTGTGTGCCTCTCCCAGCATCCTGGACTCCTGCATCTGATCAAAACACTCTTTCTGCACCTCTCTCTGTCTCCCTTGCTCACCTTTTCTTCCTTTTCTCCAAGAAGTCCCTTGCACTGAGGAGGACGCCCTGACATCGGCATGGCTTTGTCTCAAGTCATGTATTTCCTCCTTCTTCCCAAACTGCACAGTTTGAAAATGAACCATATCCATATGTGCAAGGGAGAATAGAGAATTATGTCCCATAATTCCTGTTACCACCACCTGTGTGCTGCGTATGCTTTAAGAACTGTGGCAGCCCCCTGGATGTGATTCCCCTGGATGTGGTTCCCCTGGACACATCTCTCCTCCTGCCTTGCCTCCTTGCTCTACCCACCCACCTTTAGTCCACCTTCCAGCAAAAGACTTAAAAATGGAGTATGATTATATCCCATTTTGTAGTTCCCCTAACACCACAATAAAATGCCAGATTAGGGATTAGGAGATGGCTCAGTGTATAAAGTATTTGCCTTTCAAGTGCAAGAACCTGAGTTCAGATCTCCAGAACCCACATAAAAAGGTGAGTATAGTTGCACATGCTTGCAATTGCATTCATGGTAAGCTGGAAGGTAGAGACAGCTGGATCCCTAGAGTTTACTGGCTACTAGCTTAATAGGCTTGGTGAGGTTCTAGGCCAGTGACAGACTCTCCTTCAAACAAAAGGTAGGGGGCACCAGAGGAACAACACCTGAGTTTGTCACCTGAGGAACAACAACCAAGGTTGTTCTCTGAAGTCCACAGACATGGGCATGTGTGCACGTGCACACACACGTTTGGAAGAGATGGGAAAAAGAGAAGTGAGAAGAAAGGAAACAAAGCATCCTAATGGAAGCATAAGAGCCCTGCTTGCTGGGTGTCCCTGGGGTTGGTCTGAAGGCCTGTTATTTCAGTGACTCATCTGCAGGATTTCTAACCATAGGAAGGAAAAGTTTATATCCAGAAAACACAGCCCAGAACTTTTTAGTCTCCTCTTCTCTTCTCACCCTCATACCCTTCTTTTTAATACCAAGTTTTCCTCTCCAACTTCTCAGCTTGGATTTCCCTCGCCAGGCCCCTCTTGTAGCCTTCTATCAAAGACCACGTCCAGGGGCCAGAGTGAGAAGGCCAGAATGCTCTGGGCTTGCCTTGTTAGTGGGAAGGCCAGTACAATGTACAGCACTGTCGGAGTCAGCATTGCCCAGCAGGCCACTACTTACCTCCACACTTCCTTTCCTTGCTTCCCCATCTTTTCCTCTCCCAAAGGCACCAGCTGCTGCCAACTCCCAGTCCAGTAGCCTTTGATGCAGGGGAGGTCTCCCTCTGCTCACACGGAGGCCAGCTAACGCTCCTTTCCACCCCAGGAGTGTTTATCCCACCCCAACTAGACATAAAGGAAAAGGCACACACACGTGTTATTAAAATGAACTGTTTATATTATCTCAGTTGAGTCAATACATTATAATGTATTAAAATGGAAAGGTACAAAATTGAAATAAATACTTTCTGATTCATGTATAAATCTTTTTTTTTGTCAAGATGACTTTTATCATCAGTACATGTCACAAGAAAACATTTAAAATGACACCAAAACAATCTTTGAAATCATGGTGCATGGAGGAAAAAAGGTAAAGAAAACAACTGTTGGCTTGTTTTGGCATGAGACCTTGATACAATTTGGGTTCCCCAAAACCACGTGAAGGGTGATAAAATAGAAATGCTCAAAACTGACTTAAAAAAATAAACAGGCTTTACAAAAATCCTCTTTTTTTTTCTGAACCCAGCCACTTCTCTACATGGTCTGCACTTACAGTAGATACATTCATTATTGTCCAAGGGAAGACAGCCGCTGCCTTTCACTTAAAGAGCTTGGTGGAGAGGCTGAAGGGGTATGCTACAGCTGAAGGTGAGTAGAACGTTCCAGAGAACAGAAAAGTCTAGATGGTCTTCAGGAACAGCACTGAGCATGATGGGGTGAAGGGTCTCTGGGCGAGAGGCGGAGGGCAGGGAGGAGTCCAGTTCTCAAGCAGTGAAGACCAAAGGATGGAGTAGGGTTGGTGGTAGCCACCGTGGGCACTGGGACTCTCTCAGCCTGAGCAGTCCTGGGTTTGTCCTCAGCCTGGGAACACTGCTCTGTCAGTGAGAGGTGGGCCCTGGGCTTTGGAGAGGGAGTGTGGTCGCCTTTCAGGCACAGCAGCGTCAGGGAGACAGGCAGGCTTCCAAGGTATACCACGGGAGGGACTTCTCGCCTGGTTCTGACTGTTTGGTAGGTGGTCATTAAGGCAATAAGGACTTTAGCAAACTAGAAGTTAAGGACAGCTAAATTCAGCCAGATCAAAGGTAAACAAAAGGTGAGAAGGGGACCCTCTCTCCTCAGCTCCTTTCCCCAAGCCGGCAAGCCTCAGCTCCTGGAGCACAGATTTACAGTACGCAATAGCAGAGGGCTTGCCCTTTAGGAGGCTCCCTGGAAAAAAAGGCTCATCCAAGACTTGGGCAACTCAAGCAGTTTCTACTCTCCAAACTCTTTCCTGTGGTCATGTTCTGGTGAGTGGCAGGTGGAAGCACCAAGATTCATGCAGAAGTTAGGTCAAGACCCTGGCTCTCATCTTGCTGGTTCGTCTCATTGGCCTTGAACACCATGCAACCTGGAAAACCAAGCCAGATGCTTGCATGCACCATAAGACTTACACTCAGCTGGAGAGAGGGCAAGAATTTCAGGGGTCCAGAGAGGGCACCCTCCCCTGAGCAGATGGAAGGATAGCTACAAGGGCTATGGAACTATGAAGTCCCACTTGGCTTCTGGGAAGTAGAAAAAAGCTCATGTGACTTGAATCTATCCAGAAGGAGATATGCAAAAGATAAAGAGAGCAGGACTATTCTCTTCCTCCATGTTCTGGACAAAGGAGATAAGCCTTACAATGCTATGGGAAAGGTAACCTCCAACAGCTACCTGTTCTTCTGGGCTAACTTCTGTCGAGAGGCTGGGTAGTCTGACTGCAGAGGCTCTGGAGCGGGGAAGAAGGGGATCTGGAACAGTTTCTGCCAAAGGGTACAACTACCTATCCCTGCATAGGAACCAAGTATGACCTAGGTAAAGCAGATAGATCAATCCCCTCCATCCTCCAGCATGAGATAGCAGGCCAGAAAAGGCTCTTTATGAGATGCCTGGGGCCTGCAGGTATAGCAGCTTGGAGATGCTAGACTCAAATTATTCAGGAGCCCTCTAAGGGACCTTGGTGGGGATGAGACATTTGCAAGAGGAAACACTAATGGCCTGTCTAGTCCCTCTGGTGGGACGCTAAGAAAGGTAGGTAACAGGACTGTAAGAATTACAAGAATAAGCCAGTGATAAAAATGTGACAAGCATGATCTGGGGATATGGACAAAACAAGATTGATGGCAAGTTAAGTGATCATTGCTAAAGAGGACTGGTGGATGACTTGTCTAATCCTGCATGAGTGCATGATTAAACCTATCCTCTAAGTGATACACAGTACAAACCAAATCCTCTAAGAAGTTATCTAGCTTACTCCTTCCTTTCCCTGACAGAATACCCAAAGCCACTGGGAATGGACTCTGTAGAACTAGAGTCCAGCCATCTTCCTACAGCCACTGGGACATTGCAGTCACCTTTATAGTCTTTAATCGATGTCTGTTCTCTGGCTTTGCTCTTACCATGTTGAGAAGCAGGCAACACTCCTGAGAATGCCCGCCAATGAGCCTCAGGAACATAGTATTCATGGCAAACACCTTGTTGCTTCACTAGGCTAGCCTTCTAAGGAGCCCGCAGAACTTAGGGGAGCAGCAGCCCTGGGCTGGAGTTCCGCTGTGAGCAGTGGCTGGTGTGTGGCCTCAGCTACTGGCTAAGTAGTGTGGTCACCAGCCTTGCCTGTTCTTGGAAGAGTTTAAGAATACGAGGAACAAAGGAGCTGTTCTAACAGCTCAGAAAGCAAATTGTAACAGACAAAACAGAAGTTGAGGGTTTTTTTTTTTATGAATACAAAGAGTGCACATGGACAAGGATGACAAAAGCTTACAAGTCAGAAGGTGCGTGGGGAAGAGTCATCTTTAGGATCGTGAGAGTGTGAAAGAATGTTTGCAAAGTCTATCATGTTACCTAGTTTTTTAAAAGAGAAAATAACGATCATTGTTATTACCAATATCAAGCACATTAGTTTTAGGGCTTATGGTCCTAATTTGGAGTGCTGGCAGCTCCTTTTCTTGAGGAAACAAGTTGGATATGTGGCTTACTGGCCATGTAGATTCACCTTTCTCCCAGAGAGCCACAAGAGGGCGTTCTATAGCCACAGAATTCAAGGAAGAACCCTGAACCTTAACATCTGACCCACACCTTGCAGGGGGTTGAGGCACATCTCAGAAAACACCACTAAGGATGCCCAGGGTCCTTTCTGGGTCTTTGGCCAGGGCACAGACTTCTCTTCAGATGATTAGTTAGGGACAGGAAGTGGCCTCTTGGATGTAGGCTGTGAAGGGCTATTCTTTAAAGGTATAAAGCCCTTTAAAAATCTCCAACTCAGAAATTTGATCTCTTTCAAGAAACAGCCCCCAATCTAACTGGAATCAAAAACATTTCTACATGTAGAAAGGAAAAAAAAAAAAAAAGACTTTTAAGACCTGGAGGCTGAGGCCAAGGAGGCAGGCCTCATGGTCTTTATCCATGATGATACAGTAAAAATCAAAGGGCCTCAGCAGCAGGCTGTGGACTCTGTTCTAAAAATTTAAACAAAAGCACATTCTAGATTTGATCTTTATGCTTTAGGGACAAATCTCAAGGGTCCTCCAGACCAAAAATGGCCACATAAGAATGATACTACCAAGCTCCTTGAAAGAGGAAGACAAGGCCCGAGGCTGCTGTCACTGTTGGGAAAATGATACCCATAGAAGTTCTTGAAACTGCCGTTTGCATGAGGAAATACTCAATGGCTTCTGGTGGTTCCATGGAGATAAAAGTTGACAGAGAGATGTGTAATGAAGACACAGAGAGGATGTAAAAATCAATGTGAAGACTTGTTTGGATCAAAGGTCATGACTTCCTGAGAAAGACTAATTTAAAAAAAAAAATAGAATGTTCTTTCTGGAATGAATGGAAGCCTCTGAAATGGAAACAACCTTGAGGAAGTCATCCAGGTGGGGTGGGGGTGCAGGTGGTTCCAGGATGGTGAGTTCAAGATGGAAAGCTAGATTGCTATGATTATTGAGGAAAACCCAGAGCCTACCCAAGCAGGACAGTAGGAAGGGCAGGACCGAGGTAGAGAATCCACTGCTATCCTCATTACTATTCAGTGCCTCTTAAAAACACAGGTGACTAGATCAGCTCATTCCTTATCCCACACGCTAACCTCCCTCACTTGGCTCACGCAGGCCTGGGAAAGTGGAATTCGAACAGTGCGTTCCCATCAACCATGGTCACAGAAAATATTTAGGGATGCCAAGCATGGTGGTTGGGGACATACCACACAAATTTCATAAACGTAAAGGAGCACTGTGAGCTGGGGTTTCTACGTCAGAGAGGGACCAAGTGGCTCCATCAGTTCTGCTGAGTTCCCCCGCTCATTATGTCTTCTCTCTAGGCATGGCTTGCCTCATCTGTGGAAGGAGGATACTGGGTCCTCAGGGCTCTTGGGGCTTCTCTGGCGTTCTGGGTCTGAGGTCCCAGAGATGTCAGCTGGAACAGACAAAAGTAAGGTCTGGTTTCTGCAGCCTTGTACCCAGAGGGAGTGAGCTTGCTCCTCCTGAAAAGTAGCAACTCAATGTTGTCCTCACAGCCTGGTGGAGACTGGAGATCAACATCAGCACCCTGGTACTACTTCCCTTGAATCCTGGCCACAGAGAGCCTGCAAGAGAGGAACAATGCTGCCATGTGGTCCCTCTGGAGCCAGCCTTGACTCTAAGGAAAAGGAGGAAATGCACTCAGTTCATCCTGAAAACTGCCCACCAGCAGCTGACAATGATGTGTGACAGATGCTCGCGTACACCACTGAGGACGTAGGTGCCCCTGAGGAAGAAGTGCCTGTGAAGTCCGTTCTGAGTTCTTAACTCTGAAGAGGGCAAAGGCAGAGCCAGCCAAGAACTTCTTTTGATTCAGCTGGCCATGGGACAGATGGTTTTCTGCAAAGCCAATAAGCTCCAGGACCTTGGAAACCTAACTGTGACCTCAGCTTGGGAAGGAAGAAGCAGCCTGTTTACAGAGAGGTGAAGCGATCCGCTCCAAGACAAGTGTCTGAGAAACACCGATCCTGGACAAAACAACACAAAGCGGCTGATAGCAGCTGTACATGTTAGATCCCAGCAAGGGGAGGGGTTGTCTGTCAGAGCCTAGGGTGGGCAAAGATAGGGTAGCAAACTGCTAGCATACCCAGGGAATAAACCAGCCCACAGATGCAGGCTTGGCAAAGAGAAGATAGGATTTTAGGGAAAGAACTCAACTCCTTTGACCAGAGATAATTCCTAGCTATTCCCCTTTATCTAGTCCATGTGGGAACCATCTCACTGAAGAGATTTCCTGTGGAAATCTTGACATAATAATCCCTTTAATATATGTCTTCCCCCTGAGCAAGTCCAGGTGTCCTGAGGAGGGGGAGTCTCATGATCTGTCTGCAAACAGCAGTTCAGTCTCACAGGCAGCTCAGGACCCATATTTGCTTTATGTGCACTAAAGACCCAGGAAAAGACACCTGTCTCCCTTTCTGCCACCACCCCTCCTGATGTCACATATGAAGAAACTGAGGCACAACAAGGCCACCGATTTTTTTTCTGCAGTCTTTCATGTGGCTCTGGTGCCATTGCAGTCAGGAAAGCCTTGCATCTCTCTTTCTGAATCCTTCAACATCTCCATTGCCTGTCTGCCTAACTCAACATTTACTGCCCAACTGCCTTCCTATCTACAATATAGTATATGTACTCTTGTGTATAAAATATAAATAATTCTTAGACTCCCACTTACCTTCCTGTCCTTTCTTCTCCTTTATATAACTAGGACTGAAAAAAGAATGTTCCATGACAAGGGAAAACCACAGTACTGCTCAGAGAGAGAGAGAGATCTCTGAAAGGAGAAATGCCCGCCCTCGCCTCCGGGGCCTGTTGCTTTAGAGCTGGACTGTACCACTGTTTAGTGGGGTGTAATTCAACAGAAATCAGCAATGGAGACACCTGTGCCTGATGAGTGAACTTCCACAACCTGGTTTTAAGGAACAGTAAATACAATAGAGATAGATAGATATGCTATGTTGAACCTTGAGTACTAAACACAAGTTATAAATAGAATTATGCTAAAGGAAAGCAGACAGACATCATTGGGACTAAGTCTGGTTGACAACCAGTCACCATTAGGATTAAAAAGTAAACTGGCCTGTTCACTGTGCACCTCCACAACACTTCTTAATGCACTAAGTACATTTTAACCATGCAAAAATACACAACATCTTAACTAGGTTGTTGGTTTTTTTTTTTTGTAAAAGAAATCAAACACCAACATTATGCATTTTTGTTAATTATATTGGTTAAAGTAACAGCCAGTGGCTGCCAAATATCAGATACATCATATACATATTTTTATACAGAATCTGGACAACACAACATTACACATCAGAGAGAGAGAGAGAGAGAGAGAGAGAGAGAGAGAGAGAGAGAGAGAGAGAGAGGAAAAGAGATAATTTGTTCCTTTGTGGATTTGTTGCTGTTCAGTAAAAAAATAAAATGAGAAGCAATGCTAAGAAGGAAAACGTGTCAACAGTTAAGAATACACAGGGAGAATTGCTAACCCGAAATACAGGCGGCAAAGAGTTCATATTTAGGTCTGTGTCTAGAATGTTCCTCACTAAGAAACGAAAGAGAACAACAGGTATATTGGTTTGGAAAAGCAGGGAGGTGGCGATAACATCATGCTGTCTTTTGCCCAGCACGTTTCCAGCAGGAAGGGAAAAAAAAATAATCACAAATCAATTCCAAAAGTTTCATATTTTTAAAAATGTCCTCCCTTGCCCAGGAAGCTGAGTAATGCAGGAGTGGGGGCCGCTCAGTCGAGAGAGTCCCTGGCAAAGGTTGGGCCCAAACCGTTGGCCTTGGATTTGCTGGAGATGCGAGCTGTTGTGGGAACTCACACAATGGGATGCGATGTGGCTTGCTCCTCTAGGCAAGGTCTCCCTGGCACCAGAGCAGGGGTGCCTCCATGATAAGTTCTGCTAGCCAGGCCCCAATCCTGCCCCCTTAAACTTTTGATGTCAACACAATCGTAAGACTTCAACCTGGAAAGAAAACAAGGCCTTAAACACAAGCTATGGAAGCTCTGCCGTGGTTATGGTTAGATACAAAAATGTGAAAATCCAGATGTAATCAAAAATACAAAATCAGTTTCAGTAGGATTTGCTTCTTTTTTTTTTTTTTAATACCATTACAGTGCAAGGGTTTTCAAATTACAGTAAAAGTTATGTGTCTGCTTACAGTAACTAGAATAAGTAGCTGATTTTGTTCTAGAATCAGAGGTCCCTGATAAGTGAGAATGCACCAATCGAAATCAACTCAGAAAAACAGATGGTGGTCTTCACAGAGATAGGGCACTGCGGCCGCCCCTTCCAATGCTAGGAACGAGAGAAGGGTGGTGGTTTGCACAATTCGCCAGCACGAGGTGCCTACTTATTCGAAACTGATAACAATTCCCATGAGAACATAACTGGACAACTGGGGCTAAAGGGTGGAGGATCCTGAGGGAGTCCCCGCGTCACTGAGCTTTTCTCCCTAATACTTAGAAAACACAATGCTTTAGCCTGAGCCTCCGGGCCAGATTGCTTTGTGCTTCAGTCGCTGGTCCAGGCTGTTGGGAGAGAGGGTGACGCCACCTACTGGACAGAAAGAAAACAACAGAAGCAAGCAGAGAGGTTGGGGGTGGTGGGGGGCCCAGAAGCCCCCATTTGGTAAATGAATGGCCATTGCCAAGAAGACAGTGCCTCTCAGAGTCTCATGGACCCAAAGGAAGAAAGATGTCAAGAATCTAGAAGGATGTCTGAGCATGGGTGCCCCACCTTCTGAGCCTCACCTTGGGGCAAGAGACTGGAAAAGAGGAAGCTGGCTAAAAGACGTGACCAGGTCCATGGGTGGGACATGAAGAGAAACATGGGAGCCTGTGGAAGACTTGCCTCTTGAGACTTCCAGCATCAGGAGTATGGGTTGTGTTAGGAGGTTAATGAGCCACTGGAGAGTCACCCTCTCTGTGACCAAGAGGAAGGGCAAACATTTGGCACCGGGCACAGACAGCAGCAGGCCAGAAGCTTGCAGAAGCCACATACCCTGCATGTTGGTCTTTGGCCTTCTTCATGAAGCCCCCTGGAGTCCAAATCTAAGAAAGCCACACTGCCCCGTTTGGTGAACCTTGGGGCTGAATTTAAAGGAGGCTATTTTAGCACAAGAGGTGCTTTGGGTACAGGGTTAGCTAGACCTGTGTGGGATGTGAAGAGCACTGTGTCCCATCTCTGAACTGTGGCTGTCAGTATGATCTATTGGCTTCCTCCTAGTGACCTATGTAAGTGAGCATATCTTCTACTCCTGTTTACAGCCAAGGAAAGAAAGAAGCCCCCATCCCTCTGCACCATCAGGAAGTCTCCCTATCTTGACACTGAGTGAGAATTTGCGATGTGAGTCCAGTACTCTGTGATTTGCTTAAAATCTGGCCATTGGAGGAAGCATGGGCTGCCTCTAAAACATGTAGTACATTCCTTAATTTTGGCAAAAGGGGGCTTCTACTCCTCCCTTTGGCCAGAAGTGACCTACCTCCGAATTTCTCTGACTTAGCTTTCCCAGAGTTAGTCACCAGGCCACAGCCTACTGTACTAAAGTAGTCACCTTGGAAATGTTCTGTGCTTCCAGCCCAGTCTGAGCCACACCATAGCCCACAGAGTGGTCCTTTGCACATTGCCTTGGGTGCCTCTAGAGTGACTGGCCCCTCCCAGACAGCTGATGTCTATACTTTGCTGACCATGGATCTTCCTGCCAATGGAGGACTCTAAAAAATTGGTTTGCCTTAATAGCTTTTACAGATACTGTAGTCTTCAATAAATCCCCAGAGTTCTGCACAGACAGCAAGGCCTCCTCTCTCCAAATGATGCATCATTTAAGGATTTGTGATCACAGATATATTCCCATGAGGAAAGGGACAGAATGAAACTAGAGGATGGGATGATAGGGAATGCAACCTAAAAGCTAAAAATCATACCCCAAAGCAAGTCTGTATGGGTCATTCTTGGCACCATTATGGAGTTGTCCCTTTCTGAAAGACATTCCCATGAATGATGCTTCAAGAACTGACACTTTTGGTACTGGCACAGTAGCAAGGTAGCTGTTGCATTACTAACTCTTGGTGTGGTTTGCATATCACCAAACTGACACTAGAGTCTAGGGTGGTTTCTTACTTTATTGTAGTTCTGTGACCTCAGGCAGATCAGCTCTTTGACCTCCAGACTCCTCATATTGGGTGTGAAACCACTTAATTCATAGTTATTGGAGGCAAGGCACACAACAGGCATTCAGGAAATGCCATGGACAGCCTCATTTGTTTCTCTTAAACACATCTCATCTTCCCATTCAATGATGCTTTATGACTTTGTATATGCAAAGCACATGTCTAGTGACACACTCATCCACTCCAAGTGGCTTTTTTTTTTTTTTTTTTTGGTTTTTCGAGACAGGGTTTCTCTGTGTAGCTTTGCGCCTCTCCTGGAACTCACTTGGTAGCCCAGACTGGCCTCGAACTCACAGAGATCCGCCTGGCTCTGCCTCCCGAGTGCTGGGATTAAAGGCGTGCGCCACCACTGCCCGGCCCCAAGTGGCTTTTAAAAGACAATAGGATTTGTGGGGTTCCTTTGTGCTTGGCATTGTTTGGTTTGCTCATTAATTTCTAATTATCTAATATGGCTGACTCCCAGCTTAGGACCCATAACACTCAGGTCTTCTTTCACACTTAAACCATTTGACATCCTTAATAAAACAGGGATTGGGAGAAGCAAAGGTGTTTTGTTGTTGTTTGTTTGTTTGTATTTCCTAGAAAAATCAGTGTTTTGGGCATGTTAGCGCAATGAGCATTGGGCTTCATTCTTTTCCTTTGAAATCAAGAAGAATATAACTTGTTTAGGAGATGTTTGTCCTTGTTTTGTTTTGAGACAGGGTGTCTATTACACCACCATGCTCAGCTTGTCATTGATTTCAAGAGGATCGCCTTGGATTCTTACACTTACAAACTTTAGGGGGAGTTAGGAAGGGAGAAACTGACCTGTGCCTTCCTTGTTAGGTGACTGGGTGTACTGACAACAGAATTCTAGGCTAGCGAGGGATAGTAAAGAGTGTTGTCTGCATTTGCTGAAGAGGAAGTTGTGCCAGGGCTAGTGCATTAGGCTGATGCTGAGTCCAGTGCTCCACCTGCTGTGCTGGGACTGTGATGAGACTGGACTCTGCTTAGACAGGAGCCATGCTTAGGATGTCCCAGCATAGCTCTCCAGATTCCAGATTTCTCTTCATACAAGTTATTCTCAGTCCACTTAGACAAAACCACTCGGCACATGCCCAGCAGACATGCATGCTCCAGTTTGCCAAATCAAACCAGGAAATTAAGGTAGAAACAACAACTCTTTGTTGAAGGTTTCAAGAAAGAACAATGCTATGTCTCATCACTATTAAACAGTGAGGACTTTTCAAATACCACCTACAGTTGACCTGATGGGCTCACTAGGACATAGATACATACTTTTTTGGAAATAGACACCTTTTAAGTGATAAATGCAATGATGATGATACACACTGACTTCTGAAGACTTTTGATCAAGTACTCCAGCAGAGATCTCAGAAGTTGCCATGACAATAGAATGGAACAGTGAGTGGCAAAGACAAGAAAACTTTCGGAGGAATTAGTTGCAATTGGTGTAGGCCCAAAAGAGTGCTGGGGACTGGCCTATGGCTTCTGATCTCACAGGGAGCTTTTGAAAGTTGGCTACGTAATGCAAGGCTGGTTCAACCCTCGTGTTATGTTATTGTGTTCCATGCTTCTTTGGCCATTTCTAAGAGACTGTTCTTCTCCCTTGTTCTCAGTAACCTATATAACCCTTCTCATAGAATACAAACTCACATGAACTTGGTGAGTCCCTAAGTCTCGGGATGGAGGCCTGTGGTCTGTGGACATGAAGATATGATGATCAAGAATGATAGCTAGGAAGTTATATTACAGTCTCACTCTCTTGGAGATGAGGCAATAGAGAGACTTGTTCTTCAGTCTCAAGATCAATGTTAGCATGATTTGGGTGGAAGCAACCAACCATCCTCTATCTTGGAGAATCTGTTCAGAGAAAGAGAAACATGCTATCACTCTCCACTCTTTTTGTCTCTTTTTTGGTTGATAGATTTTACCTAAGTGGGCATTTCTGTGGTGAAGGGCTCTCCAAGGCTTTGCAAATCCTCTACACATGGTCTACAGAGACAATGTGTCAGTACTCAGTAAAGGGGATTTCCAGGGAATGGAGAGGGGGAGAGGATGAGGCACACTGTGTTCATTTCCTAATCAGTGTCCTTAATTCCTTAGTCTAGGAGGTACCATCTCCCATGGGGAATGCTCACCAGTCCTTTAGGAAGGCAGGGGAAACACAGACCTCATGAAATGTCATGTCATCTCCTCTGGTTTTTAGCTCGGTCATGTTAGATGTCTTCCTGTCTTTTGAACCCCAGAATGTACCACTGTACTCAGTCCCTTTGAACTAGATTTCCTCCAGAAGACTGTGAATGACTTGGGGATGGGTCTGGTCAAGTGCTTGGGGTGTCTGCCTGGTGTGAGTAAGTAAGTGACGAGACTGAGTTGAAAGCAGAATGAGTTAACTGTTTAGGGACTTAGGGATCTAGTGGAGCCCTTCTCCTCAGGAAAAGAAATCTCTTCCTTTAGCCTCAAAAGAGTGGCTGCTGGTTCTGATAGGAGGCATGAGACAAGTCCAGCTGTGCCTGAGGCAAAGCAAGACCCCAGCCCTTTAGACTAATAGATGCTGTTCAGTTTCTGTTTAGAAGTTTGGGTTCCCAAAACAGTGGTGCCACTCAATCCTCTGATCCCTTCTCTGCTGTGTGGAGTGATCCTTCAAAAATGGCCTCCTGGGGGAGGTCTGCAAAGAAACTGATCAATGAAGTAGGTTCTCTTAGAATCTGTTGTAGGCACTCTGTCAGGAGAAAAATCTTTAGAAGGAAGGGAAATAATTTTGTTGCCATCTGTCAGGCCCCAAAGAATGTTTTATGATCATCTCTTCTTTTGGCCATCTCAACATTTCATCAGTTAAGCCATTACTGCTGGTGCAGGAATATTTATCTGCAGATCCAGGTAAATGATATCACTGTAGGGGTGGACCTTCACAGTTCATTTAGGTAACAGAAGGAAACAGAAGGTGAAGAACTCCATCAACCAAGAAGGGGGTTGTGATCATAGGTGAGGTGGGAAAGGCAAGGGGGTTTTTCTCAAAACACCTAACCCTGTGTCAAGGTTTTCTCTTATTAATTGAGGGAAGCAGGGAAGTATATTCAACCACCCACGTCTCATGTCTTGTGTTCTGTTTCCTAGAGTGTGATAGCGTTTTGTGTGCAATTATTACCTCTTCTATTAATTTCTTTGAAATATGTTTCACATTTAGGTCCCCTATAGTTCTAGCTCTGTGCTTGATACAGAATATACTCTTGATGGTCAGTTGGCTGAATTTTCAGTGGAAATATTATTTTGGCAGGAAAGTCCTATGAGGTAAAATAGATTCATTATCTGACAACCTGCCCTTGCAAGGAAGGTCAGAGCATGGCCAACACAGTGGTCTGAGTAGCCCAAAGTCTAGAGTTTCTTCTGTGGCTATACAGCACCTTGAATTCGGGGTAAAGAAATATTGGCATCATTTGTCACTGGTGTTGAAATGTACCTGCTGTTCATGGTTCAGTGATCTACAAGTCCCTTAGGCCTAGATGTTATTCTTATCTAAAAGTAGGGAACACAGAAATCAGCAATGGATGGAGCGGTCAGGAGTGAGTTAGCAAGAGCAACTAGCAAACCAGGAAGAAAAGCATCTCTTTCTGGAATGGTTTCTTCTTGAGACAGTGTCTTCTCCCTTTCCAGGGAGCAGTGATCATCCAAATTATAAATAATGAGAAAACATCACCAGAAACTCCCCTGCAAACAAATCTAACAGTGGACAGACCAGAGAAGGACCAGCCCACCCTGCAGAAATCAGCTGTCTAGACAAAAGAGGCCATTCACAGTGAGCTAATGCTGATCATTTTTCCTCACTCCCAAGCTTCTCTGACTTGGGAATTTCTCTCACCAAGAAGCATGCCATGAGGAAGCAGAGAGGTCACTGCATGGGCAAAGCTGGCTGACCTTTCAGACGTCCCATCCATATCCTCTCCTTGGTTGACCATTAGAGTCACCCAAGACCATTGGACCTTCCTCCAAAAAAACAAAAACAAACAAACAAAAAACACATTCTGAACCTTGTGCTCTTTAACACTAAGACACACACTGTCTCTACCAGATGCAGGAGGGCCCTACTAGTGGCTTTGACTTCCTACTGTCTGTGCCCTGGTACAGTATGTGTAGGCATCTGGAGAGAACAGCTCCAAGGGTGAGGGTGGCCCAGAACCTGCACGGAAAGAAAAGGGAGCCCGGTATTCAAACTCTGGCAGGCTCTCCAGGAATGAAGACCTACCTACCCATGGAAAAACTTAAGAAACAGAGACACAAGGAAAGATGAGACAGGTATAGGTAGGTAGCTCTGCTTTCTGTTGGTGTTGAGTGAAATGAGGGGTAGAGGGTAGAGGTAAGGAACGAATTCCAGTTTCCTCCTTGGACTATACCATAGCTATGGAACCAAAAGGGTAAGTGATAATAGGAATTGTGCTTTCTATTGCTGAAGGAAGGTAAGGAGAAAGGAAGAATTTTTCTAGCAAACATTTCTCTATCATTTAATTATTTCCAATGAAATCTTACAATCTTAGAAAGCTCAGTGAGGTGGCAAATTCCTCAGAATCAAAACCCAACTTTGGAAGTGCGTGGCTGTAGTACTCGTACGTGTTTGTGTGTGTGTGTGTGTGTGTGTGTGTGTGTGTGTGTGTGTGTGTGTGTGTGTGATGTATTCCCACTCTTAGTTACACACATATACACACACATATGTAAATATATTTATCGTTATGTTTTCCCTCCAAGTCAACACCAGTGTGTCCCATCTTCAATATACACTTTATCTGCATTTCAACTCATGGACAGACCATTATACCATAAAACGAGAAACAGCTAGGTATGAGTAGAGTGTAACCTAGCCATGGTTGTTTTCAATGCCAGCCCAGCATTGTTAAAGAGCAAAACAAACCTCCCTCAAATACAAGTTGAAATGTCAACCATTGATACATACAAAGCAATTCTTTATGATCATTGAAGAAAAAAGACCTTTTATAAAATTGAATCACAGGCGTTTCATTTCCTTGTAGCATTGTATGCATTTATAGGGAAGTCACCATTTCCCCCCATTCAACTACCCTTTTCCCCTATCTCATCAGAGCTGGAGGATAATAAGTCTAGAGTTTTGCAGAAGTGTTATTTATAAGGATATTTTACCCTAATTTTGAAACCTTTCTTCATCCCATTCAAGCACATTGAATTACTTTGAGAAAAAAAATACATATTTTGGCCCAAGACACAGGGAAAGCAAGTGTCATTGAAGTGTACAAATTATTCAGGGCTTGCAACATAGACATGCTTAGTGAAATGAAGGTAATTTTGTCCGAACACGTGGATAAACAGGATAAATTGAAGACAGTCCACCTTCTATTCAGGATCCCATGAACCTGTCCTGTCATCCATCTGGACTCTCTTGGGAAACGTGAGTTTTTAGGTACCGCTGGCTTGTACACTGTGAACGGTTCCAAAGCACCATTCCTCATAACACCTTGGTATGGAAGAGAGTTCCAGAAGGTTTAGAGAAGAGGTGGAGGCTGGGTACAGTAGTTCACCTCCAAATAGTACAACACGACATCAACCTAGAGAAAGCAGCAGCGTCAACAAGGAGAGCAGTCCAGTTGGACAGCAAAGCCAGGGAGTCAGGGCACACTGCGCTCCATGCCACGGAGTGGAAACTATGCCGGACATAAATCAACAGAAAAGGTTTCAAAACCAGAAACAAAGCCAAACCAATGTTTCCTTCCCCTCTATGCACAAACCTTTAGTTCTAAACCCAAAGAACAGTGGCATCAAGATGAATCCTGTCATCTAGAAGATTCATCTGTAGAGAGATTAACATTTGGTCACTTGCGTCCACAGAAATAAAGCACCTTTGAAACCAAGAATTGTTCAAGAATCCTAGTGTCTTATTCAATGTGTCAAAAAAAAAGTACAGTGAAAATAAGTAGAATAACTTATCAAATGGCCAACATAACAATATTGACTCTAGTGAATAGGCAAAAGGGCTCCCGAGGACAGTTCACAACTAAGAGCATAGAGTACAAGAAAAGGCTATGACATTTCATGAATATTCTGTGTTATAGCTTTGAACTTTATTGCAAAGCAAAAAATATATATTTTATATATATATATATATTTTTATCTACATTTCACCTCTGACATTGTACACAACACGAAAGCACAGAAAACCAAAGGAATCATAATGAGGTAGATACAGAACACTTACAGATGGAGGCGACTAAAGATTTTAAATTTGGCTTAATACTGTGGCCACCAATGTCTGCCTTTTCACCAGGCCAGCAGAAGCCCAGTGATCTCTGACCCTAAAATAAGTCCCAATAAAAACACCTGCTTCAAAATGGAAAAAAGAACATTGTTTTTTAAGTCAGGGTATCAAATGTGTACAATTGCAAACCCTGGTAAAATTAAGAAAAAATGTATTTTTGTTTGTTATTTCGTTTTTGTGCTCTCTACTCTCACCATGGAAGGAGTTTTAACTTATCTAATGAGGAGTAACCTGTCCTGTAGGGTTATTCTGTGTAATCTTGCCACGTGGGACCCAGGAGCTCACTAGTTAGGAGTTGGTGGTGAGCATGTCAGAAGGTTTTAATTCCCTGGAGCATCTGCACAGTAGTAGTAGCCCCTAAGAAAAGGACTGACTGCTGGTCTTTGGGACCCTTAGTACATCAGCTGTAATGAACACAGCTTCTTTCTGGGATCAACTGCTCTCAAAAGAAGCATGAGGTACCTGCCAGTTGGCATCCCAAGACATCCCTTTCCCCTCATCATTTCAATTAACAGTCCTTCCGATGGGGAGGCTAATGGGCTACCCAGAAGGACATCTCCAGCTTGCTTTGTCACTGCCTGTGGTGGTGGTGGTGGTGGTGACTACAGAGAACAGCTCCTCTGTGTACTCATGTCTGTGTCCCAAATGATAGGAGCACGGACAGGAGGAAGGAACAGGAGAGGAGGACCCCAGGCTGGGTGAACCATGACAACAGCTCACCAGGGAAGGTCAGCTCAGACCTATGCAGATGGCAAAGAAACTGTTAACTATGTTGTATGTGAGCCGAAAGCTCTACAGACTTAGAGCAAATGGTGTAGAAGGAGGAGTGGGGCTCCAGTCTATCTATGGGGCTCCCACTGAGCCAGACTTCAGTGGATATTTTAATTCATGTTTCCACTTGTGACTAGATCCTGCTTTGGATGAAATTTGCTCTATTAATAAATACTGGAGAAAGCTACAGGCCAGGGTAGCCTTGGGCCTGAGGGAAGGCTGAGAGGTCCCGGTGGAATGCCTAGTAATTTGGGGGACAATGGAAGAGGGATGGAAGGCCACCTGATATGTTCAGGGAGGACCCTGGAGAAGTGTGAGGGTGAGAGGCTAGAGTTTGCCAGGGTTGGCTCTTGTGTTTGTGCTTCATTGCCCTGGGGATTGTAAGCACCCCAGGAGACCATGGTCTCCTGAGTACAATACCTGGTCCATGGACAACATAAACCAGGTTGAGCTGTATGTTTAGAAAGTGCATCAAGAGGATTGGTTTGAGGCAGAAGACAAGATCTCAAGGTTCTCAAAGCTTTGGAGATGCTATGGTCATTTATCTCTGTCCAGGTGGGACCCAGGGCCTCCTCCAGCCCTTCTGGGCCCATACCAGGGAAGACTCGCCTTTGAACTTTGAGAATCAAACATTGGGATAGGTAAGAGAGGAACTGAAATCAATTCATGTGTAAACAGAAGCCACTATGAAGCCAGACAATTTCTCCAGCCTGGCTCAGGGTATGAGACTGTCTGTCAGAGCACTTGATTCTCAGAGAATATGGCCAAGTGAGTTTGGAATTCCCAATCATGTCTTCAGAAATTCCTAGACCAGGCAAGACCAAGGGCACTTCTAAGGGTTCCAAATACTGGGTCTCTGCCCTCTGGGAGACTCAAAGGGAAACAGCTGGGCTATAGTAGGCAACATTGGAACAGTTCTGAAGGAGGACTATCTGATTTCATGGTGCCCTCTGGGGAACAAAGGAGAGATAAGATGATGTCTTCTTCACACCCTGAGATCCTATTGTGCCCTGTCCAATGATACCCGGCTCTGCACATGGAATGGAAGGGCTTTCGTGATGGCCACTTCTGTGATGAGTACAGAGTTAGTATTGTGTGTTCAGGCAGGTGCACTGAGTTGGAGTGCTAGCAGGCAATAAGCTGGGAGAGCTGCTGTTACACATGAAGGTAGGGACTGATAGGGTCAGCAGAGCACATCAGTCTTCTCTTCTCCATCCTTTAGGCCCCTCATCTACCCCACACGCCCACGCTCCCTCTCTGCTTGCTCTTGCTCAAACTCCCCATCCTTTGCTGCACCTTCTCTTCCCTTGTGTATGTTTGCAGCATGGTTGGCCTGCCCAGGTCTGAACACATCGGATCATGATTTGACTCCCCACCACCGCACTTGTTCATCGTACTGTGTAGTGTTTCTGGGTGGCGTGGCTCAGAGGCTGCAGCCTTGCCTCTGCATTTTAGAAATGGGAACACAGAGGTGCACAGGAGGCAAACAACATGCCTAGGAATGTAGGGACAGGAGCAGACAAGGCTCCCAGTCCTATGCTCATCACCACCTCAGCCTGCCACCTTCTCATATTCTTTGCTGAGTCCCTCCGCTGTATTTGTTGGATGGAAACAAAATGCCGGGTTCTTGGTATCCATCTCAAATAGTCTCTGCCAGGCACTGTGAGACACCTGATCATTGTAAGCTTTGGAAAGAAGAAATGAGATGGAGAGAGCCTGAAAAGGAGTAAACCCCAGAGGCAGACTGGAACCAGTGATTTAGGCCCTCAGCTGTACTCCTGACTGACCTCAGAACCCTGTACAAGGCATCATGAGCCTTTGTCTCATGGCCTGTAAAATGGAGTGAGATTTTTGGCCTTGCAAGATTTTGGTAGGGCAAGCTGGGTGAGAGGCCAGCACGAGTCCCCTGTTTGGCTTGTTCCTAGTCAACATCTCCTGTCCTTCTAATTTGGCCCCGTTAACACCATCACGAGGTCCTTGTGGGACTTACTCTGACAGTGTGACTCCTGGGCCCACAGAGATCGTGAGAACTTGGCAGTCCCCTGACTATCTTCCATCCTCTGAGTAGCCAGCCAGGGAACACTCTGAGCCTTACAAGCTTCTCCAGCCTGGGCATTTTGGCATATACATGTGCTACACTGTCTTAAGTGGCAACAAATACTAAGGACTTCTGCCAAGGATTAGCCCATACACTACAGCAGGGCATGCCCACTCTGACAGGCATTCTCTGGGAAAACGGGGTTAGTCATGAACAGTCAGTACCCACAGGCATAGTCCCTGAGAATCACTACCATCACAGACCTCAGAGGCATGTGTCCCTTCCCAGAGTCACAGATTGACACAGCCCCAAAGAAGTCTGAGAAGTCTGATTTGCCATAAAGAGCAAAGGATCAACATACTTCTCGCTCATGGCTCCTCTTCATTTTGAACCAAATGTGTGTCTTTTGGAAGACCTGGAAACAATGGATCTGGGGCCATCTCTGGGCCTGAACATGGATGGCATTGGTCTAGAGAGGAAGGGGTCACAGACAGGGCCCTAGCTCCTTAACCACTTCTTAGCAAGAGCCAGTTGTTGGGGAATTTTGTGTGTTTTAGAACTGAAGCTGCTATGATTTTCTGAACCTCAAAGATGGCTTAGTTTCTAGGAAAGATTTCTGGGAGGGGGTGCTTGTATAGATGGGCCTCAAAGTCTTCAGAAAACAACCTCCAAAGGGGGACCTCATTTAGGGGAAAAAGAGGAAGTTCCTGGGATAGGTCTCAAACATCCCGTTAGCTAAGAGAACAGGGAGCTGACGGGGGAGGGTTGGTGCTAAAGACTGTGCTGCTCTCATGGAAGCAATGATCTCCTTCTTCATCTCAAAGGAACTCACTCTATGCTCCCACCAACCAGGGAGAAGGAGCAGCTTGTGCTAGAGCAGTTAGGCAGTGTCTGAATTTGTGTGTTAAAAACTGTCTTGGATGGCTCAGCCACCTTGTGCTAGATTTGTAAACCATGAACAAAACTCAGACTTGTGCATTCTCAGCCTAAAAAGGGGAGGAGCTGCCTTCTGCCTGCAGGAATTTCCCTGCCTAGGTTGTGCTTTATAGACCCCCAAGACCTCTCTTCTTCCCCATAAATACTTTTCAAGACCTTGTGAAGCTGTGCCAGTTCACTGGAATTGGCATCACGGGACACTGTCAATGAGCTGGAAGCTGCCATACTCATCATCTCACTCCACCCCATACCACGCTACACACAGTGCTGGCTTCCTGAGCAATCATGTTTTCTGGCCCTTGAAGAGTCCTACTTGTACTTAAACTAGCTTCAAAATGAAAACAGAGGCATTGGCCCTACTCAGGCAAGTCGATGTCCATGTTGGCAGAGGGAGGGGTATTAGAAAGGAGAGAAAAGGAGGTTTGTCACTGGGTAGGAAATGTAGACTAGGGACTATCCGGGAAAGATAAAACTGGCTAAAAGCTAAGGTGGAAGGTCTGACTTGGCCCTCTGGGGACAGGTTACTCCATATAGATGACCACAAAAAAGGAGAGAAACATGCTCCCCAGAGCACACCAGCTCACAGCTACAGTCTGATTCAGGAGCAGGTTGGAAGGGCGACAGTAATAGCTACAGGTGCATGCCATCCTCCACCCTCCCCTCGACCTCAGAGATCACAGGCCCATTGTTCCACTTAAGCCAAATTTGTTTTCTTGCATTAAGTCAACACATCCCCAAAACATATACCATGAAAGTCGAATCTCTAAAGGAAATAAGTATTTTGAACCAAAAAGAGGATGAAAACAAATTGTAAACACAAAAACACACAATACACATCAGATCACTTACAGAACCAAATGGGATCAGTACATCATCGAATCATTTCAAATGAAAGCAAAGGAAACTTTCGTTGTGGTTGTTAGCGCTTAAATTTAGGCAAAGAATCACTGTAGCATGCTCACCTTGAACCAGAGCTTGGTCATTGTGGTTCTTGGATAAAGGAAAAAAAAAACAGCCTGTGAGGGATATGGAGAACAGCTGAGAATCTGAGGTGAAGGGGGTGGAGGGAGCGGGAAGATTGCATAGCTGTGAGACTGGTTTCTCACCAAGGTGAACGAGTACATCATCTGAGAAATAGCATCTGATAGATTGGGTTGTTTTTTTTCTGTTCATTTCTGTTTGCAGTATTTTGTTCTCTGTCCATCAGACACATCATACACAGAAACATATATATAGTACACACACACACACACACACACACACACACACACACACACACACACACACACACCAGCATTAACACCAAAACCATGCAAGCCAACCCTACCCTTTGAAAGACCCCTTGCCGCCTGTTCCGGTGAAGTTTGGATTCACCAGTACACCATGCCTGCATCCCCACACCACTTCTTGTCCAAAGTAATATCTAAGATTTTTGCTTCCAGTAGCAGTTAAAAGAGGAGACGGGACAAGGCATGAAGGAAAGCACCAGACGTGGTTGATTCTCTTATTGATCTCTCTATGGCAATGCCTCACATTTTGGTTCGGGGAGAGTCACTATTTTTTAAGAGATGAGAGAGAAAAAAAACTGCCTTTTTTTTTTTAAAAAAGCTTTCTTGAGGTAAACCTTATGTGAACACCTTAGGCAGCCATCAGTAAGTCTTCACATAGGGAAGAAACCACACACCAGTGTAATATCCATGTGCAGAACATGAGAAAGCATATTTACATCTTGCTGTATGTATCTCTCCTCTCCCTCAGCCTGCCTCCTACATGGTATGGAACAGAACAAAAGATGAAGGATTCATCTGTTTCACATTCCGTACCTGTCATCCAATCCTCACCGGACTCCCTTGCACACACATACCAAAAATCACAAACAAAGGGAAAACTGAAAATAGAGCTTAGAATACTGTACAGGTTTCTACTCTTGCTGTATGCCTTCAGCATATGTAGCTATATATGCACACACATGTATACATATATGGTGTATACATATTAATATAGGAAATAAAGACCTTTTAGTTACGATTTATGCAGAATCTCCGCATCTTAGTTGTGTTTTCTATTCTCTCTTGCTTTTTGGATAAACAACCAGCTACAACAATCTATTATAAGGCCTCACAGAAAGAATTCTACATGTTTTGTTTTTCTCTAAGAACCAAAGTGTATAAAATGAGGTTTGATTCTAGCACCTTAAACAGCACTGGTGATGTTCCCTTGGGAGAAATTAGCACTCCCTAACGGCCTAGAGAATCTCTGTCAGTTACACAATATCCGAAGGTATTCCTGGAGGGAGGGGATGAAACAGTGCTGGCGGAAGCGGAGCGGGGGTAAAGTCGCAGTGATCCACACAGAATCTCAGAAGCAGGTCAAGCTGCTGTCTCCAAATGACTCATTCCTTGACTCTGCCCCAACTGCCAGTCCTATGGGAAACCCTTCCCCAGGAGGTATGGGAAATAGTATGGGAGACATTTTAGATGGGGAAACTGAGTCTGAGAGACCTCAGCAGGTTACTGAAGAAACTGTCTTGAGTTTGGACACAAATCAGGAATGCCTGACCTCTCACCTCTCACTCCTAAACCATCTTTGTCAACTGTGATGGTGAGTTGAGATTTTTCCTTTTTTATTTTTTTGGAAAAGCAGCTTCTGGCCATGAGCAAGGAAGCAAAATGAACAAAGAATTTTTTTTTTTTAAATATCAGCACCAAAGGAAGTTTAAAAGAAGCTGCCTTGTGCTCCTTTACCAAACACTCTGTGCTATGGAGACAGCAACTTTCACAAACCAAGAGAGCTCATCCCAGGGATAGGAGGACAGCTCAGCTCATCTCTTGATGTCAATCCCCAAGGTCATTACTCTCCAGAGAGCCAGTGGGTCTTGTGGAGCATTATATTTTTTTTGTAGAGGAATGATCAATTCCCACCAAAGCTGCATTAGAACCTCAATGATAGAATTACAGAACCACCGTGGTACATCTAGAGCCATGGTGACTGACACACATATACGTTCACGTCTCTGACCGCAGTGGAATGGAAGACCGGGGAGGAGCCCTGGTACTGCTGTTTGCTGCAAGTGGCCACCTGGAGTGGAGTTACACGACAGAGAAGCACCACGAGAAAAGGCACCACGGGTTTCAAGAAGTTAAATCGTGTGTTGTGATGGCCCTGACCTCACCATGGTGGGGGCACAGACAGGCTGTTCAATTTTTAGCAAGCCTTTGAGTCAAAAGGTCTCATCCCATGTACATCTGTCAACCCCAGCTCAATGGGACAGAGGAGCTAAGAGCCTGACACTGTTCTTTTCAATGACTAATAGAAAAGGAACAACATTTCTGATTCTGAAATAAAAATGGGAGGGTCTCAGACACCGGAAGACAAGCCCTGTTTAAAATGGGACATGGAGATCTTCATGTTATGATTACTTAGTGTTAGTGGATTAAGAAAGAAAAGGAAAGGAAGGAAGGGGTAAAAGGGAAGAAAGGAAGAGAGAGGGAGTAGGGAAGAAGGGAGGACCTATTACATCCATCCAGTTAGCCACAAATAGCACCAAATGAAGATTATTGAAGACAGATAGTTGTCCACGCGTGTCCACACAACTAAGGACTGAAAATCGTTATTACTCCATTCTGAGATTCTGGCTAAGAAAATGGAAGTTACTGGCCATCCGAAGCCCTAAGAATTCCACGGGCCACTGGAAAACCAGGAAGGTGCTGCTGCTGACCAAACACAGTGGCCTTTAATTTACCTCAACATACTTGCTAGCCCTGAAAATCTTCTCTGTTTCTGACTCTAGCTGGAAGCCACACTCCTGGTTGGCATGGGTACTTAGACTGTGGCAGGAAAGTGGATGTGGGGACAGAGTGCAGAGCCCTCACTATTGACTGTCTTTGCCTAGCTCTAAGGCTAGGCTGGAACAGAAGAGTCTACTGGCCATGCTGGTGGGTCCCACAGGCTCCAAGTCTTTGTCTCCACTGTCTAAGCCCGTGGTGATAAGCTAGAGAGACCAGGGACCAGAATTAAGATGGCTGTCTGCACAAGGACCTCTCAGCTGGCTGGTGGCAGTGGGAGTGTGGCATGGTGACCCACATCTGTAGTTTGCTGATGTAAATGGGGTTCTTGGTTCTCCTTCTGCTTCCTCAAGCTGCAGGTTTAGCCTTCATGGTTTCCAAATCCCAGTGCTTAGCTGTACCTCCTCAAGTGGCACTTCCATCTCTGTAGGTGGTAAGTAAATGGTTGCTACCGCTTTCTATATCACCAGTTACGTGTCCACATCTAGCTTCAGCATGAGCAGCAAGGGACAAACACCAGGCTCTTGCAGAAAGGTCCTCTGTCTGCAAGGGAAACCGCCAGCAGCCTCCTGGGATAGAAAACAGCCACGTGCCCACTCTTCCCCTGGGCCTCCTCTCATGTCTTTTGCCTCCACCACTGTAGCCTTGACTGTCTGGAAGTCTGTCTGTCTGCCATTGGTGTAGGGACATGATCTCTGCTCCCTTTTTTCCTTGCTAGGGTTCCTGGAACTTCTTTCTGGGTAAAAATTGACCTCAAGCACACCACCCCCCTTGCCTTTCCTCTGCCTAATGGCCTCGGGTACTCCTACTTATGGCAGTGGGTGTCTGAAGGCTCATCTCTGCGCTGTCGATGCTGCTGCTCCTGCTGCTGCTGCTGCTGCTGCTGCTCCTGGCCACCGGAGATGGCAGCAAGAAAGTGGAATCCAACTTAGTCATCCTTACTGTCTCCCAAAGGACACTGGGTGAAAGGTGGACTTCATGGCACTGAGAGGCTGTAGGCTGTGGTACTGTGATGGAATCCAGTGGAAGGCTCAGCTGGGAAGCTGTCTTCTCTAAGTCTTTCCTCATCTTCAAGGTCATGTGCTCCTTCCTGTGGTATTGGCCAGTCTACCCATGCATCTGTGTAATTCCCAGATTCTACCTTGCTCTACTGGATGTTCAGTTTCTGAATCAGGCATCTTGAGTATTTTAAAATTGAAACAAGCCTTTTGGGAAGCCAGAAAATTGGTAAGTAGGAAGGCTAAATAATCGGCCCAAGGTCATAGAGCTCACATTTAATGCTTTCCCCCTGGGAGTCTGTATGCTAGTCTATGGTGACAGGTTGAAATTCCTTTCCAGCCTCTAGGCCTGGATTATCATTTGCTATCTTCCCTCTCCCCTTGCTTTAACCTCATGCCAGGACTTTGTTTGGCATATGCTAGCATCAACAGATACGGGGTTCTGTAGTCTCCCTCCAAAGGAGGGGGACATGGATTCCATAATGCATGTCCCCTGGATGTGCTTCTCCCCACCCCCTCTTAGGGTGCACACGAGGGCCCATGTGACCAAAGGCAAGGTTGCTGCTAAGCCCTTCCTGATGCCTAGGCTAAGCTACTAATTTACAGACACGTTTCCAAGAAATGGGGGCCAGAAACTGGCTCGTTCACACTGTTTCCAATGCAGGATTTGGTTATCGATAGGTGGCTAGGAAGCTGAGTATTTGGAAAGCTCAGCTGACTGGTTCTGCTCTCTGGAAACTGTGGTTCATGTTGGCACAGTCAAGGGTAAGGAGGGTATGTGCTGAGCTTGGGGCACTACAGTCCACTTACTCAGCTCTCCTCTTGGGGGAAGAACTGACCATGACCATCAGGGATAGGGAAGAAGAGGAGAGAGTGTCCTGTGGGCATATGGGGTGTCTGTGCCTTGGGGAAGCTTTAGGCCTTGTGTAATCAGGAAGGGATGGGCCAAGGCACCAGTGGCAGCTTGGAACTGCAAGATTGTAGGTCCTCATCTTAGTGGACAGAAGATACTTGCTCATTGGTCCATGGAGTAAACCCCTGGAATCTCAAGATAAATTAGAACTTTGCTTCATTGAAACCCAAGACCATGACTACAACCTAGTTCTCAAACCACCAGTGCCCAGAGTGGACATGAGGTCAGTGTGGCAGGACACACTGAGGTTAGCCCTTCATAGAAATTACCAATGGTGTACACTCAAGGCTCCAAACTACCTGAGAAGTTCGAAGAGCCAGCCAGCTGCACCCGGAGAATTTTTGGGTTGAAATGGGGACAGCTAGTAGACGAGCCTCCAAAAGGAAAGCTTGCCCCAAGTCTAAGCAAACGATCCCAGCTTGCCACCATTCTGAGCAAACTAGATTCTGGTCTTCTGATGGAGGGCTTGAGTCAGAAGGCTCAAGAAGAGCCAGAGCATAACCGAGTGGGCTAGTGAGGCAGGAAGCCTGTACCAGAGCTTGCTATTGGGAAGACACTGAGCCAGGAAATCCTGTAACCTGGGGGAAGGAGTGGGATATGTATTTGCTTTGAATGACAACAACAAAACAAAACAAAACAAAAAAAACAACAACACCGTGACAACCTGATGACACCAAAAGATGATAGGGAGACCTCGGCGGGATCATTTTCTGTTTCTCCCTCTCTCTGTCCCTCTGTCTTCCCCTTCCTCTCACTCTCCCCCTCCCTCCGTCCCTCCCTCCCATCTCCCTTCCTTCTTTCCTTCCTTTTCTTAATATATGATTTTTTTTTATATAACAAAGCTATCATTTTCTTAACAGCAGAAGCCCAGGCTGAGTGTGAAGAGCGGTTCTGGCTGCCTCTCCAGGGCTCAACTCTCATCGGTCATGACCCACCTCCTGACTTCTTTCCTCACACCCCAGGGAGCAGCTTTGCTCTAAAACTACTAGGAAAGTGGTTTTCTTGAACGTTTGTTTTTCTATAAAACACTCTGTGGATGAGGAAAGATAGTGGAAATATTGCTCATAGTTGGGGTTGGCAACAGAAATCCTACCAATTTTTCCAGGGCCTGAAGATAGTCTACAGTTGGATGTAATAAGTCCCGTGTGATTCTGGGGTTAAGAAGGACCACAGGGGTGAGAGGAAGGAGGAGAGATTGCTAGAAGGAGGCATACATAAGGACTGGCAGCACAGGAGGAAGGTCTTTTGGAATCAACAACATGGGGTAAGAAGTGCTTGTCCACACTGAGAAAGGACAGTGAAGCAGCTGGAAGCTCAGAAGGCTCAAAACTGAAGCGGCCCCTGCCAAAGGCTCTGGATTGTAAGCACAAGGACCCTTCATCTAGTGCTCCTCAGGTGCCTGGGGAAACTCCCTTCAGACCTCGCCAGTCCTCATCAAGACAAAGAACCTTTCCGTTCTCTTGTCCCTTCTCCCTTCTCTAAGGAAAACAGTAATTCTTTCCTTTCTTCAGACTGGCACCATAGGACAATTTTAAAAATAATGGGTGATTTTATTCTGGTTCTAAGACAAAGCAGATCCTCCTACCAGGTTCTAAGGAGGCTCTCTGGTGGCAGGAGAGTTTCTGAGGACTCAGGGATACAGCTCTGCAGACACTGGGAGACCCAAAGCTAATAGGCCAAGGATTTTCCAGGCATCCTGGATTTGGGACTAGAATTTCTACTTGCTCAGCTCAGGAAGACGTTGGTTCTCTGCAGAAACAAGTGAACCTGTGCCATGGTACTCCCTGAACAACTTAACATGTGCTGTTTGTTAGAAGACACATTTGGCCCTTAGCGTGTGTTGGGAAGGGAAGAGCTCAATGCACATGGAAAAACAAATGAGAAATTTAAACAGGCTTTGTTTTATATGAGGCCTTCTACAGGAGATTTGAAAATCTCCTCCCCCACCACCACCAAAATACAAAAGCAAACAAGACAGTTGCACTTTTTTTTTTTTCTGGCAAAGATCCTCATCTTGGGAAGCCAAGACTTTCCAGCAAACAGAGTACCAGACTTTCCAAGGAGACGAACAAACCAAAAAGTACGAAGCTGTTCCAGGATGGCCACGGGGACTCACTCTCTGTATGTAAAGAGAGAGGAGGCCTGCTGCCACACTGAGCCCAGGAGGACTAATTGAAATAACAGAACCACAGCAATAAGTGCTGGTCCCAGGGTGCGCGACCTCATACCTGTCTTCCTCTTCCCACAAAGGGAGGGGTCATCTCAGGAACACATTCTCTGACAGAAGCCAGAGGACAGGGAGCCCCACTTTTCAAGTTCTCTGAAAAGAGAGTGGCCTTTCTGGGAGCAGAACGGTAATACAGCCCCACATTGAGACAACTCCATAATTCTGTTATTGATTTAAAATATACTTAAATGGAAGTGAATAAGGAATTAGCCCGTGATCCTTTTCCACCCCGGATATAGCACCTTGTACCCAGTCAGTGCTCCATTGATGCTGAAAATGGAGAAAGCCAACTTGGTAACCATAACACTGTTATCCTCAAAGTGCTTTACCCAACCTTAAACTGCTTTATCCTCACAACACCCCTGTGAGGTAGGTAAGCAATATTCCCATGGCACAGAAAGAGAAATTGGCCCCAGAGTGACTTGACTTGGGTACATTTGCAAAAGGGCAGAGCCTTGCAATTTTCATTACCAACGACACAATCTGTCCGTGAGAAAGCACCATGCTTTCATTTAAATGCTTTCTCTGACCCTTTTGTTAAAACAAGGAAAATGCTTAAAGAGGTCACTCTGTAAAATCAATTTCCTGCATTTGAAAAGAATACACTTTGCTGCTTCTGCCCCCGGGGGATTTGGAAGCACTGACCAGCTGGACACCATCTCCTTGAGTCTACTTCTGGAATCCTGCCTCTTCCTTATTGCCTACCATCCACGGAGGCTCTCCCAGGCTCCGAGCGTCCATCTCCGTCCATCTCCGTCCATCTCTGAGTTCCCGTTCACAAACGCTGCAGGATCCTTTCAGGAGTCAGAATGAGCACAGACGAGCACACAGACGCAGCAGGGGGTCTCTGCATTCCTTCCCTTCGGCTGCCACCTGAAATACCTTGTGGGAACAGATAAGGCCAGCAGGGTTGGCCTTGCTACACACAATCAGACAAACTCCGAGGAGCTATTACTGATGTTCAGAGTGTGGCTGGTTGATCCTTTTTTGCACCGAATAGCATTAACCTTGTAGACCAGACTCAGAACAGGTGGGAATGGAGTCAGACCAGGGCTCCCTGGACAAGAGCAGAAGAATTTGGCAGCAGTACCCAAGACCTGCCCTTGAGAGCACTCTGTTCCTCTGGGGCAGTCTCCAAAAGTGACTTTTCTTTCTTTTTTGTAATTTTTGGTGAGAATTTCTACTCCAGAATTGACCTGGCCAGGACCAGGTGGACTGGTTCATGAGAACCGGAACTTCTATAGCTTTCTTTTGCAAGATGGTCCTTGGAACCAGTTTAGAATTGGTATCATGGCAGCACCCCTGAGTGCTCATATCCTCCATGGCTCCCACCTGCTCTCACTCTGGGTTAGGTTCTAAGAACAGTGATGTTCTTAAGATGGGTCCATTTTCTTGTTACAAGTGTATCTTGGTATTTGAAACGATAACAGTCAAACCATAGTAAAAAGAAAAAAAGAAAAAAGAAAAACATAGGTGGGGACAGGAAGAGAAATTTTGAACTTAACTTTTTCAATTCAAATTGTAAGGGAGAAAAATATCTCAATTTAGGAAAAGATACGGAAAGGAAAAAAAAGGACTGCAACCGCATGCTACTCTCCAGCCCCATGCATCTCTGCAGTTCTGCCTGCAGGCTCCAAGCAAAGCACACCAGGGCGTGGTGAAGACCCACCATGTGCACAAGCATGTGTAGCTGACAAGATGGGTGTTGGAAAAGCAGAGTTGGGCTTTCCATCCTCTGCAGGGGGGTCGGGGGAGATGAGTCCATTTGAGAAGGGAAACCTCAAGGCTTTGAACAAAGGCAAGAGAGACTTTCCAAAGAGCTTCTGGCCACCTCCCACACCATCTCCAAACCGTCTCTGCTCATCCCACCCCGTGTCTATGAGACACTCAGTGAATATCCATTTCCAGAAGCAGACTCCTCTGTATTTTCCTTCATCTTTCAGAAAAAACTAACATCATGGGACTTAAGAATTGACAAATGCCCAGCAGGAGTCATGTGACCAGATGTCCCTGGCCAGATGCTACTGTACTGAGTTAACAGTGCTGTCATATACCTGACTATTCCTGGGCTCGCTCCCTGTCCACATGTCGTTCTTGCTTCCCTCCTGGGCTTCTGGGTGCTGAGTGTATCTCAAACCTCCTCTTTTTCCATGCTTCTAGTTCCCAAGAAGTGGGGTTACCCTTCTTCCTATGAGATGCCTTCACCATGGGCCGCATTGGCTGAACCATCAGAGCATCCCTGCTCTTCGGCCACTTTACTGATGGAGAAACCAAGGCATCAAGGGGTGAAGTGAGTTATTCATGATCACAGCGGAGCCCTGGATCAGCCTGTGGCCCTTCTTGATCTTTCTGACTTTAGGCAGAGCACCTAGGAAGTGTGAAGCTAAAACAAGTCTCCAAGCCTGAGGGCCCCAGGGCTACATTGAGGATGGACCAGAGTCAGATGGCTGACTGCTCGTCTGTATCCGCAGTGACAGATGGCCAAAGGTTACTTAGAGACAGGTGCTCTCCCAGTTACCAGCCAGCACTGTACCAAAAGAGAAGTCATAAATATTTTTTCTCCCTTGACTTGAGGGTGATGTTCTAGAAGCTATCCTCCCAGAAGGTTCGAACATAGATTGTTGACTGACTTCAGTTTGAGGAGGGAGCTAGGGACTCCAGCTGGGGACCAGCCAGGACAGCATCTCCTACTTGGGCATTCACATTTTTCTTCATGCAGTGGGCATCCCTAGATGCTGCCTGCTCCTGTCCCTGTGGTCTATTCTTAGCCCTTGACACAGGTGCTGGCTTGGAGAAGGAGAATCTCCTGGAGAGGCAGTCTGTCTGCTGCTCTGGAGCCATCATTAATAGCACTCATGACCTTTGGCTCCAGAACACTCCTGCTGTGTCCTGCCAGTCACTGCGAAGAAAGGGACAGAGAGAAAGAAGATGATGCATGGGAGCTGAGTAAGGCAGAAAGAGCCATGTGGGCAGAGGAGAAAGCTGGGACTAGGTCAAGTCAATATCTTCTGATATTCAGCCAGTATCAACAGATGCAGCATTCGAAGTGAGAACAGAAACCTTTAGAACAGCCAGAGATGGGGAGGGGGAGGCAAACTTTGTCACTGCATCTTCCTTTCCCTTGAGGAAAGGCTTAGAGAAGCCCTATAAGAAAATGGGCTTGCCTTTTACATTGTTATACATTTCAAAGTTGAGACAGGCACATGTCGACTTGGGATGCTCTTATACGCTGATAATGTTGTGGCCTGTGGTTGGATAACCATGACCAATGCCAACTTCCAGAGGCTGGGCTGTAGATGTGAAAGGAAGGCTGCCCAAACTGAGACAGGGCTCAGTTTGAGGAGAGGAGATAGGGTAAGGACATCATGCCCACCACATGTCCAGCTGCACCTTGATGAAAGGACCAAAGGCTGAGCCTAGCTTCCTTCTTGCAGGAAACAATGTTGTGTCTTGAGAAGAGTGGAGCCCAGGAATCGGCAGGTGTTTGATATGCAGTGCCTAGAACTGCTCCCTGGGAGGCTGGTTGGGTACTTGAGGAAGTTGACTCCTCAGAGTCCTCTCCTTCTCCTGTGGATTGTCTTTCCCAGGATTCCCTGGGGCATGCTGAGATTTCCCTGGCAGTTTTCCAAGTGCCACTTGGATCCTTGGAATTATACTGACCTCTCTTCCCTTTACAGCCAAATCTGGTGTGGCTATTTTAGTATTTGCCAGTTGCTGTACAAATAGATGCAAGATGACCATCCACAAGCACCTGGCCCAAGACTTAGCACTGCAGAGTACTGGATACACCCTAACCTTATTCTCACCTAGACTCATTCTCTACACCAGGGGCCCAAACCTGCACACAGCAGCCATCTTGCTCTGCTCCAAAGTAATGGGTAGAAAAATTTTTCTCAGGTCCAGAAGCATCAAGGCCAGTTAGTGAGGCACAGAATAGACAAGGGGAAAAGAAACCACAAGTTCTTTTAGGGTTATGAGGAATTGCAGAGGGATCTCAGATGTGAGTGAAGAAGGGCACCTGACCTTCCCAGAGCTTCTCAGGAGGAGACAAACAGTGGTAACAACAGGTCAGGCTGGAGGAAGAATAGAGAAAGTGATGTGACTCGGTGCTTTTCAAAATACCGTATGTTTTTCTGAGAATTGGATTTGTATTGGTCTGAAGCCTGTAGCATGAAAGGCATATGACCAGGACAGTTGTCCTTGGCACCAGACAGGATCTGCCCTCTTTTAGCCACCCAGGGGCCACTGCTGTTGAGAGGCCACAGGGGCCACAAAGAATTGGGTGATTCTGTGTCTATGGAGTAGGATACAGAGTCCTCCAGGCCATGGGGGGGGGGGATGTCTCTTCCTTTGATTAGGACACTTAGGGAAGATGGAGCCTGCTGTCTCCTGGCCCCTAATCTACTTGGGCTTTGTGTATTCCTCCTAACATCGCTGGTTCCAATTATGAGACAAGTCTGACCTGCAGGGGGCTACTTTGTAGAGATAGACTATGTTTGAGAGATCAGAAATGTTGGGGCAAAGGAGTCAATGGGAGCAGGTTTGATGGGTTTAGATCCCCTTAACTTCCCCTCTCATGTCCTTGAGAGACCTGAAGATTCCCAAGGTAGATCCGCCCAAGCTTGGGCGGTGGAGGGGAGGTGGAGGGGTGGAGGGGAGGCTTGCAGAAACTGTTTTCCCAACTTTGGATGCCCCCAGCCAACACCCACAATGTCTAAGTTTCATGTAAACATGAACACATGTGCTTAAGCATGTGTGCTAAAGATAGAGTGGTCACACAGAGGCGGCAGACTGAAGCCAATGGTAGGATCAAAGAGCAAGAGCAACAATGGGGACACGTCTAGGACTAGACGAACAAATGTCGTGGCAGAGGTCCGGAGCGCACGTGTGGCACTGCACAGCTTCAAGGAAGCTATTCCAGTAGCACACAGAGCCCCAGACCTGGGACAAACAAGAGCTGGGATCGGAGCTGGCCAAAGGAATGCCCTGCCACCCCACAAATGGACTCTTCTTCCCCAGGCTGAGCAGAGCATGGGCTGGAGCTTGGGGACAGAGCCCCAGCAGGTGCAGAAGGACAGAGTGAACAGGTCTTGTAGGGAGCTCCCTTTGGTCACTGTTCTCTCTCACACAGTTCCAAGCGTCCCTCTTTGCCTGGCTCGCTCCCTGCCAGGCAGAGGCAGCCCAGCTGGTCTTCACCTCAGCCCAAGTGTGCTCTGTTGTATCCTGCTTCCCAGAGCAGGGACCAGGTAGGCCCCCCCTGAGACCTCATATTAGGGAGGGCCTGCAGAGTTGTGGAAACACATGAGATAAGGCGGTGGGACAAAGGAGGGAGCATTTAGTTTCACATCTAATATATGTTTAAAGGTTTAAGGGTCGGGGAGAAGATTGGGATAAACCATGAAGGGGTGACAAGAAGGGACTTCTTTTGAATAGTTATTTAAAATAAAATTTTAAAAATTCATCAAAAGTAAAAAAAAAATTCCTCAGTTTTTGAACTTCTCTTAAGTATAGCTCAGTGTGAGGTCTTGCACCCTGAACAGTTACATCCAGAATTAAAAGGCAATCACACCCACAGATGACAAAGACTAACAGTATGGACTTAAAAATACTGTGTATGTATATATAGATATATATATATTTACACATATATATCTTTTGCGGAGATATTTTTCTTTTTATGGTTAATTTTCTTTTTTCTTTTCTTTCATTTTTTTTTGTACGCCCAAGTAGAGATAGAATGGTATCAAAATAATACCCTAAAACAGAAATACTCTTTAAAGGAACAGTACCTTCTAAAAAACAAATGAAAAATTTTACAAATGGTCAGACATACTTGTGACACCTCCAGAAATTCACCTTGGTATAGTGAGAACATAAACAGTGGATTCAAATCCTCCCCGAAGCCACAGGGCCTGAAAGAACAGCCTCTGCCGCTGGGTGGGGACTTGCTCTCCAGGTGGATGGCCACATCCAGATGCCACTCACTCCACCTCTCAGTCCAGCCCCTCCCCATTCCCTCTCCCAGTTACCACAGCAGCTGCCTCAGAGCAATTTTGTGTATTTCTGGCAAGACCTTGCAGCAGGTGTACACACACACACACACACACACACACACACACACACACACACACAGAGTCCACTCACCCCAAATGCACCAGGCTGAATGAGTCTCAGCCAACCACATTGACAGAAGCACCAGTCTGTGAAATGGGTTGGTTAATACGATTTGACTTTTTTTTTTATATATATATATAGAGAGAGAGAGATAGATATTCTAGTGTTCCTCTTTATGTTGTTTTTCAAAAGCACAAATGAAAAATGAAAAATTCTTTCCAGATCAATTTAAGGCTTCCCACCAAATGAAAAGAGAAGAGGCCTCCCACACTGTCACACATGACACACACACACCCTTCTCAGCCTTAAAGTGATGGAAGAGATCATTGTCACCAGTCACGGACTAAGTATTGTGCCTTTAAATTGATGTCATTCTTTTTGCTACCATGCTGAGTTTTATCATTACGGATTCTCTTTGATAGTGTTTATGGACATTTCCTTTGATCTGCTTTTAGAATTTACCAAATTGGGTGTTTGGGGGTTTCATTCTTGTTTTTTGTCTTTATGGGAAAACAATGCAATTCTTGCTAGGCAAATGTAAAAATGGCACATAGTCAGCCTTCGAGTAGCTTTTCCGGCCAGTGGAGATCCAAGTAGCCCTTTAGCTTCTGGAAGGCTTTGCAAAAATGGGGAAGGGGCCAGAGAGACTGAATAAAGAGAGGGGTTTCTATGCCGTTGCTTTTGGTCAATTTGTTTGTTTGTTTGTTTCAATACAAATCATTAGATAGGAAGGACTGTTTTGGTATGGTATCTGGTTGTTGTTTTAATTCGTTTGCTTTGTTGGTAGATTTTGTTTCATTTGATTATTTGATTTTTTTCTCTCCTGGTGCAAAAGTTACCAGAGAGCTTCGTGTGAGAAAACATGACAGTACCAAAAGAAACTCAGCACCTAAGGGCGTAAGGCAGTTGAAGGTTTTCGTTTGTTGTTTTGTTTTGTTTGTTTTGTTTTGTTCTCTCAATCAGCACCAATCCCATAAATGATCTACACTTGGTGTAAAGTAGAAAACTTTTTTTGTTTCTTTTGGAGAGGAGGTAGCTCCCCCTTCTCCACCCTAGGAACTGTAGTGTGGGATTATTTTTTTTCAATACTGTTTCTTATGTGTAAAAAACAAAAGGAAGGTTTTCTTTTTGTTTTTACTTACAAAACATAGAGAATATCTTTGTGTACATATAGTGACTGGAAAGAAAGCTTATCTGAAGGGGATGTGACTTATTGATCATTTTGTAGTGTTGGTGGTGGTGTTGTTGGTGGTGTTGGTGTTGGTGGCGGTGGTGGTGGTTCTGTGTATTGGGGGAAGGGAGGGTTATATTTCTTGCAGGCGGCGTTGACCGCAACCAAACTTAAGGTCCCCTTCTCAATCTGGGTCAAGGTGTTCTAGAGTGAAGACTCATACTGCAGCAGCTCATAGAGCAGAGGCCCATCTCGGTAGCGAATGCCCACTGCGGTGGGGGTGACGTACTGCAGGATGTTAATAGTCCTCCGCAGCCTCCTGTCTACAAAGTGCGCATCCCAGGCTGGGTACCGCTTTCTTGGCATGTCAATCTTAATCAGGGGCCCTTCTGGGTGGTAAGGACGCCCTGACGGGGTGGAGGGCCCCATGGGTCTCACTTGGAATACAGGCAGGCAAGTGTCAGCCGTGAGGTCCTCCTGCTGTTCCGTCACGGCTCTGGTGGGAGTGACCTGGGTTCCCCGGTACCCAGGGGTCTGAGGTGCCATAGGCTCAACATCGGGGGGCAAAGGGATGCCCCAGAGCAGCTCGGCACAACAGGAGCTGGCAAAGACCTTAGCCCGCGGCCCCATGGGATGCAACACGCCATAGTATAAGAGCATGAGCGCAATCCCAGCCACAAAGCTAACGAAGACACAACACAGTGCTGGAACGGCATAAGAGTCAGTGCTCTCCGGGTTTCTGTAAAAATACCAAAGGAACGTCAAGGCAGCATTCTCGGTCAAGACTATTGTATAGTATGCGAACATTCGGTATCGAGTCCGCCCTTCCTTGACGTTAAACCAGCAGAAAATGTACACGATCCCTACCACCATGTTGAAGAGGATCTCCTCCCACTTGGACATGCAGAAGTCTGTCCCTCCATGGATGATCCAGAAGGCCATGGCGCACCAATGCACCACCACGAAGATCCCGAAATACAGCTGGAAGATGGAAGCAAAGAGGGCGAAAGAGATAACTCGGGATGAGATGGTGAAGAGGCGCCAGAAGAGGTGGATGAGGGCCCCTCTGTAACTCATGCTCTTCTTGTCGTCCCTGGAGTCCCGCAGAAGCTTGTGATAGGAGGCTAGCACCCAAGCCAGGGACATCAGGGAAGTCACAGAGGAGACACCTGCCAAAAAGACACAAACCCACACAGTTAAAACCTCGGAGAGCTACTGCGGACACAGTGGAACTCCTGGCTGAGGAGACGCCCCCACACACAATCTAGAGGAGGAAAGGAGAGAGAAAATCAGGCACTGGACCAGAGTCCCAGCTGCTTCCTACACTGACAACCGTGGGCAGATCTGAAGTCGGTTTCGACAACCCTGTTTGCAGCTTGAGAATCTTGAGGCTCAGGAGCAGAGTGGAGAGGCCCTGCTTGGCCTGGAGTTGGGAAATGGGGGCAACATGTGTGACGAGTGGGCCCACTCACTCTCCACCTTAAGGGTCCTTGTTGCATGTGGATGCATGGCCAGCGCGGGTGTCCCGAGAACCTACAGAAGTGGTGTTGGGTTTGTGAAAGCTTACTGTCAACCGCCCTAGCTCAGGCTCCTCCCTCGATCTTTCTTTCTGTGAAAGGGCTGGGTGGCTTGCTCAAGGTCCCCAATGCCCTTTTCTGGACCTCCTTCCACTTGGCCTTCTCCTTAATCAGCCATCTAAATCCACCGTGGGATGCCCTCGCCCCTCAGCTGGCCACCTGTGTCACTCTATTGGCCTCTGTTCACATTCTTCTTGCTTTCTCAGCTGCCCTTGCCCAGGTCCTCTGTAGGTTTTCCCTTGCTGTGTGGTCCTCCCTCCTCTGGTCTCCCAGGTTAGAAGTGACCTCCTGCTTTGGAAGTACTCCTTCCATGGGTTTGGTGATGTTTTCCAGGGCCTCTGTGGTTCATCCCCCCAGCAAATCCTCCAACCTCAAAGAGTCCGGGAGCTTGGATGTCTCTGACCCCTGGAAGCACTCAAATTTCTCAGCAATTTTCTAACGTTGCTGAATTGATGTTTGTGAACAAATCAAATGAAATGGCAATGGTAGCCTCTGGTTATGATCCAATCCACCCATGAACAAGTAGTCATCCACCAAGCATGGTTGCATAATGTCCCCTCACGCAGGATTCCTCCATCATCCCCAAATTCCTCATGCATAGCCCTAGTGAGCATCTAGCACCTCCTTGTATGGTCCTTCCTAAAATTCAGAACTAAATGCAACTCGAGGCCTGGCTATCATCTCATTGATGGTCTCCTTAACAAACTGTCTAATCTCATAAGCATGACTCTGCTATTACTGTCTTCCAAGCAGAAATCAGTGCTGCATTACCCATCAGTGTTAACGTCAGATCCAGGCACTCAAGGGACCAAGAAAGATGCCTCAACCCTTTCACTTGGGTCTTTGCACACTACCTCACAACGATCCAAATTTCAAGGAGGAACCAAAGTCCTTCTGCTTGCTGGGTCCAGAATTATGATCCTGCCCACCTCACGAATCTCCCTCCTTGCCTCCTCTCTGGGTCTCAGACAGTAAAACAGTATGTCAGGAGCCATAGCAAACCCAGCATGTGGGCAGCACACAGAGAGCATTGAACATCTGGATGTTTGCCACCAGGAGCATCTGCTGCTGCTCGTGTCAATGACGATACAAAACAAACAGGAGGGAGGAGGCATGAACCCAACTTCTCCATGGAAACCAATCAAAAAATTATCTTGAGAGCAGTGATGGTGGATGTTCATCCAACTTCTCTGGAAAGTTCTATAACGGATACTTGAATGCCTTGCCTACTTGTCCTACACACGAGGCATCTGGTCTGCATCCCAGAGACTACACATGGTTTGTGATCCGAACATTTGGAGACAGGTTGTGTCCTGGCTGCTAGATTGAAGTAGGAAGAGCAGGTCCTCATAGGACTCGGTGTGTGGGTTTCCAGAGGGCAGGGAACAGGAAGTCATACCATGGTAGCTTGTGTCGGATTTAGTTCCTGGGACACTTTCAGGGAGTTCCTTTCAAACATCCTTGTGACTCTACTGCCACCTGACTAGCCAGCTTTTCTCCCTCCCTCTCTCCCCTCCTTCCTTCCTTGAACTGTGGTGTTTCTAAGTTGCCTAGGTTGGTCTCAAACTCACTACTGTAGCTCAGGTTAGCCTGAAAATCTGAATCATCCTGCCTCAATCTCCAGAGTTTTAAAAACTGAACTCATTTATTTTTGTTTGTGTGCATGCACAGGTGTGTGTGTGTGTGTGTGTGTGTGTGTGTGTGTGTGTGTGTGTGTGTGTGTGTGTGTGTGTGGTGTACATATATTCATGTCTCTCTGTGTATGGATGTGTATAGATATGTGCACAAGCATGTAGAGTGCAGAGGTCAATGTCAGGTGACATTTCTTAGGAGCTATACACTTTATGTTTTGAGACAGGGCCTCTCATTGGGACCTGGGGTTACTAAGAAGGCTAGGCTGGCTGGCTAGTGACATCCAGGGATGCACTTGTCTCTACACCCCCAACACTGGGATTACAAGACTTTTTATGTGATGCTGAGGATCAAATTGATGTCCTCATGTTTGCATGGTAAACATTTGATCTACTGAACCATCTTCCCAGCCCCAAACTCATTTCTTTCTCTCTCTCTCTCTCTCTCTCTCTCTCTCTCTCTCTCTCTCCTCCTCCTTTCTTTTGTTTTTTCTTTTTTTTTAATTTGTTTTTTTGAGACAGGGTTTCTCTGTGTAGATTTGGTGCCTGTCTTGGATCTCGCTCTGTAGACCAGGCTGGCCTCGAACTCACAGAGATCCACCTGGCTCTGCCTCCCGAGTGCTGGGATTAAAGGTGTGCGCCACCACTGCCCAGATCTTTTGGTTTTTCAAGACATGGTTTTTCTGTGTAGCAGCCTTGGCTACTCTTGAACTTGTTTTGTAGACCAGGCTAGCCTCAAACTCACAGAGATCCACCTACCTCTGCCTCCCAAAGTGCTGAGGTTAAAGGAGTATGTCACAATGCCTGGCTTTGAACTCATTTCTCTCTCTCTCTCTCTCTCTCTCTCTCTCTCTCTCTCTCTCTCTCTCGCTCGCTCGCTCTCTCTCTCTCTTTCTCTCTCTCTCTCTCTCTCTCTCTCTCTCTCTCTCTCTCTCTCTCTCTCTCGCTCTCGCTCTCGCTCCTCGCTCTCGCTCTCTCTCCTCTCTCTCTTTCTCTTTTGGTTTTTCAAGACAGGATTTCTCTGTGTAGTCCTAGTTGTCCTGGATTGCACTCTGTATACCAGGCTGACTTCGAACTCACAGAGATCCACCTGCCTCTGCCTCCTGAGTGCTGGGATTAAAGGCATGCACCATTACCGCCAAGCTTCAATTCATATCTTGGTGCTAATATTTAAGCACCGACTGGAAATTGTCATGACTTGGCTGTCACAAAGGAGTGTTATGAAAGTTACGTAGGAGGAAGGCTTGACTTCGGGTTCCTTCTAACACAATGAAAACTATTACTGCCCCTATTATTTTCCACTCAGGAAAGCATGAATGCTGAGCCCACAGATCTCAGCTTTTGCCAGAACATGGCCTCAATTTTATCCCCATTCTGAGTACAGGGCTTTCAGTGTACTCTACCTCCCTGTCTCCTAGTTGTCTGTGCCTCCTCCTGATCCACTGCTGTGGTTCCCAGGCTTTGCTCGTTTGCTTTGTTTTTTTCAAGACAGGATTTTCTCTGTTTAGCATTGGCTGTCCTGGAACTCCTTCTGTAGATCAGAACTCAGAGATCCACTTGCCTCTGTCTCTGCCTCCCGAGTGCTGAGATCAAAGGTGTGTGCTACCACCACCGAGCCCTGAAGCTTTGTTCTTGTCACACCTTTTGTTGCTGTGGGATGTCTTTCTGTACGCTGTGAATATATGTTACTCTCATTGGTTAATAAATAAAGCTGTTTGGCCAATGGCGAGGCAGAATAAGGTTAGGCAGTACATTCAAACTCAGGATGGAGATGAAGAAGGGTGGAGCGGGGCAGAAGTTGTGAGCTACCGCCCGGAGAAGCAAGATGTGAGAGAACAGGTAACACCACGAAGCCACATGGCAATGCATAGTTTAACAGAAATAGGCTGAGTTAAGTGGTAATAGCTAGCTAGGAAGAAGCCTGAGCCACAGGCCATACAGTTTGTAATTAATGTAAGCCCCTGTGTGTTACTTGGGACCGAGCGGCCCTGGGACCAGGTGGGACACAGGAAAACTTCCACCTACACTTTGTGGCACTAAAGTTGCTGATTCTGTGATGGGGCTTCTGGGTTTTCCTACAGAGCATGGTGTGGATGTTCCTGAACCATCGCACAGCACCATCCCATCTTATAGTGAAGGCTCGGGAAATGTCATATGGGGACAGAGAAGCAAGTCCCACGGGAGTGCTGAATAATAACAGGCAGCCATGGTCTCATCTCAGGACCTCAGTTATTTCTCACTTGGTAAAGTCTGGAACTGCCACATGGCTTATGGAAGAGGAGTTCCTCATACTTGCTTCCCAGTCTGCTCGTCCCCCAGCAAACCTTGCCCAAGATGACCCTGAGGACCAGTGACCATGCAATATAGGATAGCATTCATCCTGCTACCTGGTGCTGCTTGCTGACACTGTCTCTTCTCCATCTTGTCCTTCTGACAGCTGGAGTTTTTAAAGCTCCCAAGGTCATTTGTAATGAAGGTCACTGGCCTGCTTCAGTGGCAGAACCTGTTCTGCTTCCTAGCCATGGACTCCTTGGGGCATGGAATGACAGGCTTTGTCTTTGGGAGTACAAAGAGGCCCCTAAATCAAAAGGCATGCTAAAGCCTGGGAGTGGGTGTGGCAGGCAGGTATGGGGTGTGAAGCTGGCCTCATAGCCACACAGAGCAGGGATTGTAGAAGGAGGAGGGTGGCCTGGAGATGTCCAAACCCTCACTCCCACTACTTTTCGTTCCCCACATCACCATAAGGCCCCAACTATACTCAAGGCTCCAGCACATCTCTTTCATCCAAAGTTGGTGGTGGCCTTAGTCCATCTCACTGAAGAGCTGGGAAAATCCAGGCTCATAAGACTCCATGCAGGAAATAGGTTTCTCCCTGGATGTTCACCAGACAGTGACCTTTATCCCCCCCCATGGGCTTAAGAGCCAATGGTACAGGTATAGATAGACCTATTTTCAACCCAT